GGCTTCAACTCGTACGGCACCCAATTTCCTTGCTTCTGAATCATTCCCATGGCTTTGAGGCGTTTTGAAATGGCTTGTTGAGTCACTCCCAATGATCATGCCAATTCTTCTTGATTTTGACACGAGTCTTGATCAAGTAATACCTCTAATTCTGCATCTTCGAAAACCTTCTCTCTTCGACCGCTATGCCGGTCTTCGACGTCAAAATCACCGTTCTTGAAGCGTTGAAACCACTCACGACACGTTCTTTCATTAATAGCGGCCTCACCATAAGTATTTGAGAGCATTCGATGAGCTTCAGCCGCAGATTTCTTCATATTGAAGCAGAAAATTAAAACCTCCCGCAAATGACGAGAATTTGGCTCGTAAACTGACATTTTCAATCGAGAATAACTTTATGATGCAGACACAGATCGACTAATGTTTCTATGGGGTTATGTTGACAGATGCCCAAGTTTATTGTATGACGTCTATGATCTATTTACTTCGACCACCACTTACCGCTAAAGCCATTTATCTATAGGAAAACGGTGGAAGCAAAGTTATTTACCTAATATATTTATAAATAATGCAGGCATAATTGTTTATTTTAAAAAGTATCGTTTTGTCTACGTATTTCTTTTTGAAGCAACTATGTGTTTTCTTTACACTAATTGAGTATCTCATAACTCTGTTTAAAAAAGTATTAAAGTACAATTATCAAAAAATTAATAGTTTACGTCTTTACAAGATATTTAACATTTTATGTCAAAATGTGCCATCATAGAATTTAAAATATGTATCTCATAAATTATTGATTTGTCGGTAACTTTACCTTAACTTTTATATGTGGAATAATGAGAGGAATCATATTGTGCAAAAAAATTATATAATTTCATTTAAAAAATGGCTATACGTTTATACGACCTTAAAAAAATTGATTTTTTCGAAAATCAACTTTACTAATATTTGCATCCCTTCAGACTGTATAATTTTTATCTGAATTATTTTTCCATATCTTTTATATTTTTCGAGATATTCAACTCATTATGTTTGAAATGGGTTACCTCGTATATCTAATTTATTTAATGTAGTTAATATTACAAAGCGTTTTTGTGATTCAATGTATAACAATGAAGAAATCTTGAATTTTTTGGTTGTGTCCTGATATTGTAAGGTTAATGATCTGAAATTGGCGCTGCTCAAGAGTAATCTCTAATTGTTATCAACGTTTAAGCGTTCTACATAATTATTTTAATGGTCGAAATTATTTTCACATCTATGTCTATTTAAATTTTTTAATATTTTAGCAAAACTTTTTTCAGCATATATGTAGAAAAATAGTTATAAAGAATAGGAATGCACCGGAACGTAAAATTACCGGATATCGGATATCCGGCGTCACGTTGTTTTTGGATATCCAGTAGGGTAATTATCCCGCTGAATACCGGATATTTCCTTGGATATCCTATCAGATATCCGGAAAGTGGCTTCCAAAAGAAAGACAGAAAGGAAAAAATAGCGATAATTTTCTTTATCTTCTCCCATGGTTGGTTAGAAAAGAAAGAGGAAAGAGAGATGAACTGTGCAAGAAATTAGCCGAAGAGAATAAAATTCTGCATTAATGATGCAAATTATCAATATAAAATTTCAACTGGATACATATTACTAGATGCTAATGATATTCGGTTATCTGGCCGAATAGTCAAAAAGTGCTTGATACCGGATATTTCCTGGGTATCCGGTACATCCCTAAATAGAGAACACAGTCATACAGATTACAAAAATAAATATTCAAAGTAATGAGTGAAAGAGATAGAAATAAATTTGTATAATATATATATGTATTTATACAATATATTATAAAATTTATATAATATATAATAAAGTTGAGGAAACGATAAAAATAAAACCTCTCATGCTATTTATATATTTTTTATCATC